ATCTAGTAGGTGTCAAGACAGGGCCTGACCTCAGGCGTCTTCTGACTCTGAGACCTGCTCTCTTAATACAGATAAGTGTCAGGTGCTTGGGTTCAAAAAAAGATCATCCCCACACCCCAAGTACAAGATGAGAACAGCATGAGTAGACAAGAGTCCTTATGAAAAAGAACTAGGGCATCTGTAAATCTAAGTCAATAGTGTGGTACAGAAGCCTGTGGTGAGAGACAGTGCCAGGAAGAAGGGAGGCAAGGGTGCCCCTGTGCTGTGCCTTGATCAAACCACATAGTATTGTAATACTGTCTTCAGCTCTGGGTGGCACATTTTTAAAAAGACATAGAAAAGCTGCAAGGTGCTGAGACGATGGTGACAGAAACGGCCAGGGGCCTGGAAAACGTATTCCAGGGGATCAGAGAAAGAGACTAGCAGAGTGTGATTGAAGCAGAGTTACTAGGGGGCAGAACAGCTGTCTTTGAGAATTTGGAAAAGCTATCAGTCATGAAGAAGGGAGATCAGACATATTCTGTTGGCCTTAGGGAACAGAAAAAGGAACAACATGGGGTGGGGGAAGGAAGCAGGAGGCAGAGTTTTAGACTTCTCATGAAGAAAATCTTAACAATGAACAGTTTACAATTACACTCCAAAAGTAGAATGAGTGCTCTCAGTAGGCAATGAATTTCCCCCTTTGGAAGGTACTCTAAAGAACTCCCAGTATTAACATCTAGCCTTCCCTAGTGATAGCTACAATCAACATTCCTTTCCTCGAAAATAATTCTCAATTTAGACATTCAGGGTTTTCTTTTTCTGTGAAATCTTCTATTTTATAATAGAAACTGTCATTTGGTTTCTAGCCATCTGTTAGAAAGCACAAACTGCCCAAAGTTAGGGCCAACTGCCCCTTTATTTTCCTGCACTGATCCATTTTTATTTGGGTTGGACCTGAGAATCACTGGTGTAAGGCATGTCCTCCACCAATGCCAACTGGGCCCTGCTCACTCACCAACACAGTCTGGGGGAGAGGCCTGGGACAGCGAGAGGTTAGATGACCTGCCCAGTCACCCAGCCAGCAGAGATACCAATCTACATCCCTTTCTTAATTCTATTACATAATATCAAGTGACTTCAGACATCACTGCTTTTTTGACAAATTTAATGATAAAGCTTGAGGCAGAAAGGATTATAAGACTCTTTGCTTACATAAATGATTCTGGAGGTGGACTGGGGAGATGAGAACATATTTGATTCTGTCCAAGGAGAGCCGCTAATGCTTATGCAGCTGAAGCCATGAAGACCACTGACGGAATCTAAGCCACTTTTGCTTAGTATCCAATTCTGCTGAAAGGCTTACTGTTACTCGAATGATTTTGTGGAAGGGCAGGTCTATTTACTTATTAGATGAAAATGAATCTTTGGGGAGAAGGGTGGAAGCATGCATAGGGTACTGCCCACTCACCAGTTCTAGGAATTCCCAAGGAGGAAGTTCCCTCCACTGATGCAGACTCTCAATGTGGCAGGAAGACTAAGTGGCTGAGGGCACTGACAGATGAAGGGACATGCCCTGGGGACACACAGTGAGAGTGTGTGTGTGTGTGTGTGTGTGTGTGTGTGTGTGTGTGTACCACTACTTGTCAGAGTAAGGACCTGAACTCAGGTCTTCCTGACTCCATGGCTGGCTCTCTAGAGCTTGGGAGTAAGGGGGGAGGGTTGGAACCTGCAGCCTCTAGGCCACATATGGCCTTCTAGGTCCTCAGGTGTAGCCTTTTGACTGAGTCCAAGTTTTACAGAATAAATCCTTTTATTAAAGGGACTTGTTCTGTGAAGTTTGGATTCAAAGGGCCCCACCTGAGGACCAAGAGGGCCACAGGCTCCCACCCCTGCTCTAGCCAGTAGGCAACACTTGTCCAAATGAACCTAGCAATAAATTACTTAAATAATTTTGTTGATTAAAAAAAAAAGACAGTGACCTCTACTGGGGCGGGTGTGTGTGTGTGTGTATGTGTGTGTGTGTGTGTGGTTCTAAGAGTCTTGCTGCAATTTTAAAGGAGCTCAAAACTATCTATTTATTGGAAAAATACTTTTGGCCATTACTTAGGCTTATATGCTGAAGTGTGAGTTTAGGAGTTTAAGGCTAACTAATCCTGACATATACCACATGGGGAACAGCTTAAGATGTATTAAAAAAGGCTAAGTGTTCTGCAATTTGAATAATTTCTGTTTATAAAGGGAAAAAAGAGCTGCTTTCCTCAAGAGTGCTGGTTTTATATTTTGGACTCAGATTTCTATTCCCCAACCATTTGTTAAGACTCTCTTATGTGCAAAGGCCCCCGGGGATAATCCCCAAGAAAAAAGGGAAACACCAAATTTCATTTTGCTTTTTTTTTCCCCACAGAAATCTGAATCCTACATGTGGAGTAGAATGCTTAAGAAGTAAACTGCCATAGTCATATGTGAAGGAATGCAATATTTTGTAGAGCCATGCCATCACTCCCAAATAACTCTTCATAAAAATAGAAAGATGTTTTCATCTTGTCTAAATAGGGAAAGAAAAGTTGATCTGGCCTTTCACTACCTATGAAATCCTGGCAACCAGTGAGCAAAATCTGGCACTGAACTGTGGAAAACCCAGGGTCCTGAGCCAGCTCTTGCTCTGCTGACAGTGACAAGAGACAAAGAACTTTCTCTGTTTCATCACTGCAGGTCAAATCTCATTAAAGGAACTTCAAGGGAAGTCCACATTTCTTTCTTGTCCTGGAAATCTATAACCACCCCCAGAAATGTGCTCTTCTCACTGGATACTATATCCCCTAGGATCTCAACAGCTCTATCGATTCGATGATCATTTTATGTAGCTGACTCTTAATCTCTTTATGCAGCCCTAAACTCTCTCCTGACCTTCAGTCTTGGATCACCTATTGCCTACTGGATGTCTCAAACAGGACGTTCAAGGCATCTTAAACTCAGGATCCAAAGCTCATTAACTTTCTCTCCTAACCTTTTCTCTACTAAATTTCCCAATTACTATCTAGGGCACCATGTTCCTCTCTCAGGCTTGCCACCCCAGGGCCATTTCCCCTCTTGCATTCATTCACCCCACAAACCCAACACTTCGCCAAATCTTGTTTCCTCTACCTTCACAACATTGATCTTGTACCACCCTGGTGCAGGCCCTCATCACTTTATGCCTGGATCACACCAATAGCCTTCCTGCCTGCCTCGGGATTTTCCCCCTCCTCCAGCTGGTCAGAGAGATGATCGTCAAGCCTTGGTCTGACAATTCCTGCTCCCCATTCCTTCAGTATTACACAGAAGATGCCCTTTGGCCTTTAATGTCCTTCACAACCTGGCCCCATTCTACCTCCAGCTTCCTTATACTGTATGGCTGCCACCCCCCCCCCCAAACCTGGTAACCCATTGACATTGGCCTCCTCACTGTTCCATGGACATGACCCTGAGCCTCTTCAAGACTGTCCTCCATGCCTGGAATGCTCCCCTTCCTCCCCTTGGCTTCCTTCCAAGTTCAGCTCAAATCCCCCTTCTGCAGAAGGCCTTTCCCGATCCAGAACACCCTCCCAAGGCCTCCTTGCTGAAATTATCTCCCATTTACACTGTAAATACCTTGTATATAGACAGTTGTCTGAATGTTGTCCCCTCATTACACAGTAAGCTCCCTGAGGGCAGCGACTGTTTTTGCTTTTCTTTGTGTCTCCATCACTTAGCACAGTGCCTAGCACCCAACAAGCTCTTAATAAATGCTTGCTGATAATGAACTAACTGCAAGCCTGTGTAAAATTGACCTTTGTACATCTTAAAGATAAGTGTATGGCCTTTAGGCTAGGTCTCTTAAGAAAAACAAGTCAAAAGCACAGCTCTTAAAGTATCATCATCCTAAGTGAAAATAATCCCGTAATAGTGCCAATATTATTTGATAATGTGTTTGAATTTGTATATACTGAAGTGCCAGTTTTCACAACAGGGCATTGGGTACAGTTCCTTTGCACATAGTAAGAGCTAGCATTAACAAAGTACTTTAAAGTTGGCAATGTGCTTTATAATAATTCTCTCCCTTGATTCTCACAGCAGTTTTGGGAGGCAGGTGCTGTTATCATCCTCATTTTACACAAGGGGAAACTGAGGCTAAGAGCAATTAAGTGACTTGCCCAAAGTCCCACAGCCAGTATGGGCCTGAGGCAGGATTTGAACTTGGGTCTTCCTGACTCCATCGACTCAGCCACGTTAGTTGCCTCCACGGTAAGCCCTTCCTACTCATTTCATTCCATCAATTTTATACAATGCTATCTGTAATAAGTACACAGGATTTCAATCTAACAAGTTATTTTCCATGAAAGAACTATAGCATAATGTGAGAATTCGCTATTCTCATCTTCTTACCTAGTGCAGACACAATCAGCAGAGCCCTTAGTGGGATCTCCTGGAGAGCATGGATTGTCTTGGGGTTTTTCTATTTGTATCCCAGGTCTTAGCACAGCCCTTGCAACACAGTGCTTAGTAAATGCTTTTCAGCCAGTCGTTCATTGCTTGTAAGTATGATTCTCCCTAGCTAGTTAAAAAGAAACAAAACATTCCCGGCATTGAATGATTAACTTCTGAATTTTCTATAAGGAGAATGCTGTGGTGCAATCTGCTAGGTTTTTTCTTATTACCGGTAATTAACTTGAATCTGATAACATCTGTATCAAAATCTATGCATCCCTGCCTCACAATCCTGAAGATTAACATTCATCTGGGCTAGTTTAGAGAAATGCTATAATGGAAACAATTTGATGGTTGTTGAAATAATGAAGCTAGGCATTTTGCTCCCTCTCAATGAAGAGTATCTTACATTTCTTTTTCTGTAAGTGGGGAAACATAAAAGTGATTCGTATACTTGAGGCAGGAGGGCCACAGGTGGGCGACAAACATTGTTTTTAGTGTTATTCTAACATTTTAAAAAATTGGCTCACTGGAATACCAGTATCTTGGAAAGACAGAACAATGACTCTTACCATGAGCTCTTGGAATGCTTCTCTTTATGGAAGTGTCTTCATTTCATTTTATTTGGGTTTGAGCCTATGTTTCTGATTTCCCCAAATACATTTCAGCATCTGTTTCTGGGTTCCTTGTAGAGTTCTTGCTAGCCTGACCTTTGACCATCCTCTTCCAGGACACTGACAAGATCCTGATCAGCCCATTACAGCTAAAGGGGAATGAAAGTGGCCACTTTTGTTATAATAATCTCATCAGGATCCTGAGAGGCAGGAGGAGGGTGTGAATGGTTCTTCAGCTACACTACCAGGAATGCACTAACTAGAAATAATAAAATGCCTGTTCTTCTTTCCCCTTTGTTCTTACTTATGCCCTATCCAGAACTTAGAACTACAGTATTACTGGACTTCCAGTACCGGAACAACTTAGCCAATAAATACTCCTGATGACTTAAAAGCCCTAGGGAAGGAGCTGCTTGAGGGATAATGCTCCCAGGAGAGTCTAAGTGACTGACAAGTGTGCAAGGTCACTAGCTAACATTAGAGGCATGTTTTGAACCCAGGGTCTTCCTGACTCCAAGCCTAGCACTCTACCTATCATGCCAAGCTGCCTCCTTGTAAATGCTTAAGACTTTTAGAAATACCTAAACTTAAATGTGAGTGCTTCAAAAAGACCACTTGTGTCAAGTTGGAAAGCGTTGGTAGAAGGTTAATCACCTGACAGTAAATGACAAAAGGTTCATTTCTTCGGCTGGCAGAGGAACTGTATTTGATTTTTTTTTTAATATTCTGAAGAAGAATATGACACTAACCAGAGACAGTCCTTGAATATCATCACCAGATTCATGTTACTAGTCAGGGTTTCCCATGTATTGTGCTTCAGTGTTAACTGTAACATGTAAGGAGGCAACATATAGAGAATACAAATAAAGAATGATGGAATCACAGAATTTGAGAACCCCAGGAGCCCCTTGTGTTCCTGAGGAGGGGATGTGACTTGCCCATGGTTACACAGCTGGCTTGCTGCACAGCCAGGATTAGATCGGGGGTATCCTGACTCCCAGACCCCAATGCATCCACTTGACTGCGCTGTGATGACAGTTTGTACTGCAGGTATTGTGTACCTGGCACTGTAGTTTGCTCGGAGGACCTGAACATGCTCCAAAGACTGCATGTGCTAACCATATCAGTTGTTCTTTCCACTGACAACCATTTCCTCTAAGATGGTGACTGACCTCAGGCAGCTGTCTATCTCACTTTACAGGACACTGAGAAGGACAACCCTGAGGACAGGTATAGTGTTACACAAGCCACTACAACCCAGAACAGCTCAAGCTTCCATTCTGGGGCAGGAAGGAGCAGTAAAATGCCTAAGCTGTTTCCATTCCTGAATATAAACAATTACATAGACTGGTAACAGCCTAATTCTTTAAACGGGGCTTTTAAGAGTTACAGAATGTTATCCTAGTATATAGAATATTATACTAATCTTCTGTCTGTAGTGATTTACATAAGAAAAACTTGTCACCTTGCTCACTGTAAAAATAATTTCAGGGATTTTTAAAAAAACTATCATTGTTATGCTTTGTATAGCACACAAAAAGAACGTGAAGTAGGAAGCTTCTGTTTTTACAGTAGGCAGAAGTGATAAAAAGGAAATTACCTTGCCCCTCTCCCCTGCAAAGTTTTTTAAAATAGCATTTAAATGTTTACTCTCTCTCATAGGAGGATGGGGAGGATGTCTTCTTTTAAATGGCAGTTTCAAAACCAAAAAAAAAGTTATGAAAATATTTAACATTTCAGTGCACTTCTTATACAGCAAGTATGAATGAACCTAATTTTAAAGTTCACATCATGTAAATATTTCCCTGAAGCCTACTAGGATGGAATTCATCCAGAGTAAAAGTGAACAAGGAGGAGGGGGGGACCTGATTTAGTGGAGGTGAGGTTCCTTTAGGAAGGGCCTGAAGCACTCCAGATATGTGAATCTCAGGAGAAAAAAGTGTTAGTATAGTGAGGTCAGGACTACAGGGTCTGGGAAGAAGAGTGGAAAATGACTAGGGGGCTGGAGCTTAGGAAGTATTTTAATGCTATTTGCACTTAGTATTTAGTGGGCCTAAAAATCTGCTTGAGTACCACTGAGATAAAGTCACATCAGAGCTCGGCCATGCAGGGGGACCACTCAAAGGACGAACCATCAGGCCAGGCCCTATGGCGGTCCCCTTTCTAGTGCCCGTTCTGACCGACTCCATCTTCAAGTATGAGCTGAAACCCTGGGAGGGTGCACTGCCAAGGACCCCAGCCTGAAAGTGACAGGCAAACTGGACAGTGTCATTCTGCCGTCTCCTTTTTTTTTCTCCCCAGAAGGGGTCTCAGGTGGTTGAGCCACAAGGTCTCCCAATAAACATTTTGTACCATCCTTTTCCTCCTACCCTACCTGGCTAGACTTGTCCCCACAAGGTAGGCAGGCTTCCCCTCCTTCCCTTTGCTGTCCACTCTTCCCAAGAGGCAGCCTGGCATACAGCACTGTGCTTGGGAGTCAGAAGGCCCTGGGTTCCAACAGAGTTTCAGACATTCAACAGTTGTGTGACACAGAGACAAATCACTCTAACTTCTGTCAGCTCCAAACTCCCCATCTTTAAAATGTGGAAGACAACCAGCAGCACTTCTGCTTGCTGAGATTCCTGCTGTTTAGGCTAGAAAGGTCCTCAGAGGTCCATGAGTCCAAGCCCCTCAATTTACAGAGAAATTTAAAGCTTCTGAGTCATCCATGCTTACATGGGCAGTAAGTGGCTTTCCTTTTCTTTAACTGGTGTTCCATACCACTTTTAGTAAATCACACTGGGATGCCAGTTGCTCCCCTTGTGACCCTGGGCAAGAATTCACTGAACCCATGTGGGTCTCAGCTTCCTCCTTGGTAAACAGAGGGGTTGGACTGAATGACCTCTAAGGATCCTTCCCAGAGATCCATAACCCTATTCCCTTCTAAACCCGTTTTTAATTAAAGACAAGAATATTAAAGAATAGAGTGCTCTGGGATCTGTCCTTGGTCCTATGCTGTTCTGCCAATGCTAACAATTTTCTACAACTGATTAGAGCTCCGTCTATCTATAGCACTGACATGAAGTGACTTGCCCTGGGTCATACAGCCATGTGTGTCAGAGACAGGACTTGAACTCAGGCCTTCCTGGACATCTCTCTACCCACTAAGCCAAGTGCCACAATAATAAGATGACAAGGGATAAGAACTGGACTCTGAACCCTGATTTCATGAGTTTATGGAACTCCCAGCTGAGGAAGCTCCTCCTACCTTGGCATGTTCTCTGCAACTACTACCAGTCTGAGAGAGTGGAGCAAATAACTTAGGGAGCAGGGTAACTCATTTATATACACATATATATATATATCTATATATAATATAAATGTCTATATATGTATGTACATGTATGTATGTATGTATTTTCACTTTACTTTTCTCCTTGGAAGCCTTGGAGCCCTCTCCTTACGAAAGGCTCCTAACTCCCCCCCACACTCAATCTCCTCTCCTAACCTTTCCATAACATTTTCCTGCTGTCTTCTTTCTCTGTCTGATCCTTTATTAGCTTTCTTTCTGCCCTTCTCCTAAACTTTGTCCTCCTAACGATTCTCTACTCCCCCTTTCCTGGGGTCCCCCTCTCTCTTTCTGCCCCTTCTCTCCTAACTTGCATAGGTCCCTCTCTCTCTCTTTCTGCCCCTCCTCTCCTAACTCTTCCATAACCCCCTCTCCTGAGGGTCCTCTCTCTCTTTCTGCCCCTCCTCTCCTAACCCTTGCGTGCCCCTCTCCGGAATTCCCCCCGCCCCGTTCTTTCGGCCCCACCCTCGCTGCTGGGCAGGGCGGGTCACATGGTGTGTCCCCTCCCCCCGCTGGAGGGATGAGGGTGACCCCGCCCCGCGGCGCCCCCTCCCGGGGCGGGCACTCACCTTCTCGGAGGCCGGGGCGGGGGTCTACATTACAACTACTGTCCCCCTCCCGGCCGCCGCCGCCGCCGCCGCCGTGGTGGAGCCGCCGCTGGCGGGGGCTCCGCAGGAGGGGGCGGCCCCGGGGCCCACGCCCGCTCCCGCCGCCGCCGCCGCCGCCGCCGCCACCGCCACCGCCACCGCCGCGCACGACGAGGACGAGCTCGGGGACAAAGCCTCCCCCGGCGGCGGCGGCGGCGGCGGCGGCGGCGGCGGCGGGAGCGGCGGTGAGGAGGTCACAGCGCTCGGCGCCGACGCCATGTCAGCGAGGCAGCCTAGCACGCCTGCGCAGGAGGCACCCTCGGCGCGAGCGGCCGGCCCCGCCCATCCGTCCTCCGCCCCGCCCACCATCTCCCTCTGCGGCCCTCCTCCTCCCCAACTCTGGCCTCGTTCTCAGGAGCCCCGCCTTAGCACTGAGAATGTCGCCTTCCCTCGCCCTGCATCACAGTGGGTGACGCAATAGGCCAGCCGGGGAGCCCCGCCCACCCACGGTAGCGCGGGCGCCCTCTGCTAACCGCTGGTGGGGCTCGTGCTGGGGGGCGGGGCTGGGGCTGGGGTAGGAGCAGGCTGAGAAGAGTCTGTGCGAGTTCAAATCCCGCTCCGTCGTTGCCGCGGGCTGGCGGGGCTCCAGTCCCTTACCCAGGGCCTCCGTGTCCTCGTCGGGTTGGACTGGAAGACCTCTCAGGTCCCTTCACGCGTCTGCCCCTCCAGTAATGTACTGCGAGGACCAGTCGTTACCACGACGAGGTACTGATTCTTCTGCAGGGGGAGGGGGGTGAGTTTGGAGAGTCTGCCCATCTGATTAAGAGACGCTGGGGCCACAGTCAGGAAGAAATAAAAAATAAAAAAGCCGGGAAGCCCCGAGTTCGAGTGCCGCTGGCTGTGGGCCTCTCTGTGCTCTAAGACTGACCTGCAGGGCTAGAAGAAAATCACAAGTACAGTTGTTATCGTAATATAGTGATTAGTAATTACGTTATTATTATCATTGTTATGAATAATTAATAACACTGGAAATGTGCTACAAATAACAGGCAGTAATAAAGCGAACGATTCAAAATGATTTTTGTACAGTAGTTACGGTGGTGTGACAAAGCTTGTCTTCCTTAGGTGTTTAGGGCCTCCTTGGGGTGAGGGGGAGGGGAGGGAATAAGCATCTTTTGACACCTGCTATGTGCCAGGCACTTGTGCTAAGTACTGGCGATACAAAGAAAGGCCAGAGTATGCTGGATTTGGGAGTCAGATGGAAAAAGGCTGTTTAATTCCTGACTGTTACTTATTGTATGTCTTTATGCGAGCCACTTAGCCCGCAAGCATCTACAATCATTTGATGTGTGCCAGGCACTGTGCAAAACTGGCAGTACAAATAGAAGCAGAAAAATAAAAGTCAATCCCTGCCCTCAAGGAGCTTACACTCCAATGGGGGAAAGGCTTGACCTTGACAGGTCTCATTTTCATTGTCCATTGAAGGGAGATGGGCTAGATGAACTTTAAGATCCTCTCCAACTCAATCCATGGCCATTTTCATTCTATACAGAATTAGCTTAAAAAGGGGTCAGCTCCTCCCAGTAGTCTAAGGAGGCAAAGGCCTCCTGAAATCCCTTATGCCTGTAGAGCAAGCCCCGTGTGGCTTTAGGACCACTTAACTGATGTAGCTCCGGTTCGAGGTGCAGGGTATTTTGGGTAATCATGAGGATGTATCCTGTAGTGGGTAGAGGGGACTGTCTTGTTGTCAGGAAGACCTGTCTGCCACGTCCACCTCTGATGCCCGTGTGACCTTAAACAGATTATTTAGCATGTTTGTGTCTCTGTTTCCTCATCTGAGTAAAATGATAGAGTTGCACTAGGTACCCTCTGAGGGCCCTTTGGTTCTAGGTATGTATGGTCCTATAAGTTTAATTGGCTATGTGACTCCTAGGAAAGTCACTTCGCCTCTGGTTGCCCCAGACAATGGTTTAAGACTCCTCAAAAGTCCATTTGACTTCTAACCACTGCCTCCCTTTATGATCTCACACCTTTATCACCCCCCTTCTCTTATCCCTTTCTATTTTCCTATTCTGTGTGTATGCATATGAATGTATATTCTTCCTTTTTTTGAACCACTTTTGATAAGACTCAGATTTAAGTTTTGCCTGTCCACCCCCCCATTTTCCCCTCCGTTGTAAACTTCCTTGCATGCCTCTTTTATGTGAGAAAATTTTATTTATCATTCTACCTCTCCCTCCTTCTGCTGTATTCTTCTTTCTCCTCCCCTCCCTTTTTTTTAGAGACCATTGCAACATAATGAACTCACACCCATACCCTCTGTAAACTCCTTTTAACTGCCCTGATGATGATAAAGTTCTTAGGAGTTACATGTATCATCTTCCCATATGGGAATGTAAATAGTTTAACTTTATTAAACCCCTTATGATTTCTCTTTCATGTTTACCTTTTTATCCCTCTCTGGAGGCTTTTGTTTGAATGTCAGATTTTCTATTCAGTTCTGGTCTTTTCATCAGGAATGCTTGAAAGGCCTCTGTTTCATTGAATATTTATTTTTCCCCATGAAGGATTACATTCAGTTTCTCTGGGTAGATGATTCTTGGTTGGAATCCTAGCTCCTTTGCCTTGTAGAATATCATATTGCAAGGCCTTTGCTCCTTTAATGTGGAAGCCACTAAATCTTGTGTGGTACTGATGATGGCTCCGTGATATTTGAATGGTTCCTCTCTTCCTGCTTGAAGTACTTTCTCTTTGACCTGGGAGCTCTGGGGTTTGGCTATAGTATTCCTGGGAGTTTTCATTTTGGGATCTTTTTCAGGAGGTGTTGAGTGAGTTGTTTCAATTTCTACTTTGCCCTCTAGATCTAAGATATCAGGGCAGTTTTCTTGATAATTTCTTTAAATATGATATCTGGGCTCTTTCATTATGACTTTCAGGGAGTCCAATGATTCTTAAATTATCTCTACCCAATTGATTTTCCAGGTTATTTTTTTTTTTTGGGTAGGCAATGGGGTTAAGTGACTTACCCAGGGTCACACAGTTAGTCTGAGGCCAGATTTGAACTCAGGTCCTCCTGACTCCAGGGCCAGTTCTCTATCCACTGTGCCACCTAGCTTCCCCGATTTTCCAGGTTCTTATGATATTTCATATTTTCTTCTATTTTTCATGCTTTTGATTTTGCTTTATTGTTTCTTGCTATCTCATAGAGTCATTAGCTTATACTTGCCCAATATTTTTTAAGTAATTATTTTCTTCAATGAGATTTTTGTACCTCTTTTTTCCATTTGGCCAATTCTGTTTTATAAGGAGTTCTTTTTTGCAGTGAATTTTTGTGCCTATTTTACCATTAGGCCAATTCTGTCTTATGAGGTGTTAATTTTTTTTTCAGTATTTTTCATGCCTCTATTACCAAGCTATTAATTCTCTTTTCATAATTTTCTTGCATACTCTCATTTCTGTTCCCAAATTTTCCTCTACTATTCTTATCACTTTCTTTAACTCTTCTAGGACTTCTTGTTGGGTTTGGATTCAGTTAACATCTTTTCTTTGAGTTTTTTGGGTAGCTGTTTTCAAATTGTTCTTTTCTTCTGAGTTTATGTCTAGGTGTTCCCTGATACCATATTAGGTTTTTATGGTCAAATTATTATTTTTTTGTGTGTCTTGCTCATTTTTCTAGCCTATTTCTTGACTTTTAACTTGGTGTTAAAGCTGAGCTCTGCTCATCTTAGGGTGGGGAGGCATTGTGCCAAGCTTCAGACTTTTTCATGCTGCCATTTTCAGAGCTAGTTCTGGGAGTCTGCAAGTTTTTGGTGCTTCCAAGGTGGTGTGATCCTGGGAGAGGCATGGTCACAGCTCTACTGATCTGTGTTCTGGTCTTTATCAAGGAAGGGTCCTGGGTCTCCTGCAGCCACAAGTGCCAGCACTCTTCTTGGCCCTGGAACTGCAACCAGGGCCTCTCCTCTCTTCCCTGGAACTATGACCCAGAACAGCATATGGGCAATAGAACTACCTGTCAGCACCAGCTATTCCCAGTGTCAGCAAAGGTGCCATATAATCTCTTTCTGAGCAGCTGTTGAACTCTCACCACCTCTGGGCCAAGAGCTCCCAAAGCTGCTTCACTTGCTGTTGTAGTCACTGTTGCTGCTGCCATGTGTGTGTTCTTAGGATGGACCTCAATCCCATGTTACAGTCTTCTTCTGCCAACCTCTTCAGTTTTCTTAAGACAGAAAAATACCTCACTCCAACTTTTTGTTGGCTTTGCTGCTCCAAAATTTGATTTGGGGCATGATTTGAAAGTTGTTTAGAGGGGAATGTCAGGAGAGGTCAGCTGGGTGGCCGCCCCTAATCCACTATCTTGGCTCTCCCCCCTAATAATCACCCATCCCAGCTTTTCTAACTGCAAGCCTGGGGTTCTCTCTACTGCACTGTACTGCCTGTCCCCTAACCAGAGTCCTTCCAAGTGCTTGGAGGCCTTAGCCTGGGTCCCATAAGTTATTCAAGACATTTGGGATTGCAGGGGGGCCTGAGAGCTTGCTTGATATCATGCAGCAAGTTGGTAGGCAGAGTTGAAACCAAAACCTATGGTCTTCAAAGACTTAGGTGTTAGCGGATCCTGTTGCACCATCTTACCTGCTGAATGATTAGGACACCATAACCCTAGCCTGTCACAAGGGAGTGCCCTTCTCGGAGATGCCCAAATGAGGGCAATAGAGTGCATAAGAAGGAATAGTAAATTCTGAATCTGAGGAGTTGAGTTCAAATCCTGATTCTGACATTTGTTATCTCTGTAATCTTGGGAAAGTAATTTAACCTCTCTGGCCCTCAGTTTCTCCATCTATAAAAGTTGGGGGGGTGGACTAGATGGCCTCTACATCCCCTTCTAGCTCTAAATCTGTGGTCCTAACATCTCTCTGGAATTTGGTATTCTCATTTGAAAGTCAAGTGGGGAGGGAGGTCTTGGACCAGATGACCTTTCTCTATGAAGCTATGAATCCATAGTTTGTACCTTGAATTTCCAAGTATGTCTAAGATTCTTGGACCAAATGCCAGTGGTCTTCATCTCCCATTA